TACTGTGTGTCCTCTCTCGGCAGGAATGTTGGAGAATCTCCACGCAGCAGCCTACCGTAATACACTGTGCAACTCGTTCTACTGCCCTGACTTCATGCTGGGCCAGTTCACCTGTGAACAGGTGAGTGCCAGTTTTCATTACAGCTCTCCGCCTCTGCCCAGCCTTCCCCACTCCTGGAGGGAGGGTTACTTCGCAGTGTGGGCCAGTCTCGATGGGCCAAATGGTCTCTGCCTGCACGTCAGTGGGACTTTGCCCGGTTTCGTTGCTGGTCCTTCACAGCACGTTGTTGACAAATTCTAATTGCATTGTCGAGGAGAAGCGCAGAAATTACCACACAGTTCTGGGGGCTTTTGGTGAGGAATTTTTGTTTTAAACTCTTGTTTGAAGCCCCATCAGTGCTTCCCCTCAAAAAATGGGGAACGTTTAACAGGAGCTTGAATTGTAGCAGAGCTTTTAACGAGAGGTTCCACTGCTGGTTGGTTTCAGGGATGAATTCAGCGTTCCCTCTTCTCTCTAATTGTAGTAAACTTTAATTCAGGCCCTTGTGGTGTGAGAGAAAGGGATATGGGACACCTTACATAAAGGAGGGATCCACTTATGTTGCAAGCAATTCAGACAAGGTTTTTAAGGCTGCTTGCTGGAATGGAGGGATTGTCTTCTGAGGACAGGTTAAGCCTTGACTCATTTAATTAGAAGAATGAGACATGATCTCATTGAAATGTAAAAGATCTTGAGGTTGGGTGTGAGGGGGGCCTGCTTGACAAGGTTGATGCTGACAGGATGTTTCCCTCTGCGTGGGGATCTCCAAACAAAAGGCACAGTTTAAAACGAACAGCTCTTCCATTTCAGACAGCGGTGAGGACGAATTACTTTTCTCTCAGAGGGCTGTCAGCCTTTGGGAGACTGTATTCCAGGGGACACAGGGAAAGTGGAGCGAAGGTCTCCCTTCGTCATACCGAGTGGTGGAGCAAGCCTGATGGGCTGAATGGCCTACTCCTGTTCTATGATCTCTGTCAATTACATCCCAGCCTCATACACCCTCACCCTCCTTACACCCTCTCCCCATACACCCTCCCCCCGTACACCCTCTCCCCGTACACCCTCCCTACCCGTACACCCTCATCCCGTACACCCTCCCCCCCCGCACCCCCCCCCCGTACACCCTCCCCCCGTACACCCTCCCCCCGTACACCCTCCCCGTATACCCTGTCCCCATACGCACTCCCGTCTGTACACCCTCCCTCCGTACAGCCTCCCCCACTACACCGTCTCCCCCCATACCCCCGTAACCCCACCCCTGTACACTCTCCCTTAAGCTCCAGGTATTTCGGAAATATTGCGTGTACTTGTCCAAACCCAGAGCTTCAGTCTCTCCCTAGATTTCACCTAGCCCACTGTGCTCAGGTTCATGGGGTGGGGGTCACTCTTGAAGCTGGTGTTTCAGGCTTCATGTGATGGTTCAATTCTCTGACATGCAGAGCCCTTTGTTTTTTTAATTTCAAAAATATGTTTTATTTGTAAAAGTATCTTTATGTATGGGGTGGCACAATGGCTCAGTGGTTAGCTATTGATTGCACCCTTGGGTGACTGTCTGTTTGGAATTTGTGTGTTTTCTCCGTGTCTGCGTGGGTTTCCTCTGGGTGCTCCGGTTTCCTCCCACGGTCCAAAGATGTGCAGGTTAGGATGGATTGGCCATGCTAAATTGCCCCATAGTGTTCAGGGATGTGCAGGTTCAGTGTGTTGGCCGTGGCAAAAGCAGATTTACTGGGATGAGGTGGGTCTGGGTGGGATGCTCTTTGGAGGGTTGCTGTGGACGATATGGGCTGAACGGCCTGCTTCCACACTGTAGGGATTCTATGATACACAGTCACTAAAGCAGTTCAGTCCTGTACAGTAGCATATGAAGCAACAAAGAAAGATTGGAGGTTGACTGTATCCAACAAAGAAACAAAGGCATTTGTTACTTGTACAATGTTATATTTACATGCATTTGAGGTGCCAGGAAGGTCTGATAACTGAATGGACCCCCGTTTAACTTCAGCAGAAAGGCCTTAGATGGTGGTCCTTTGATCCTCACAACTGCTGATTGGGGCACCTCTCCATTGGGAGTCATTTAGTCTAATCTGTCCAGTCTGACACTGGCTTTAGTCATTGCTGTTTGGATGGAGTTATAGTGTATTCTTTCTAATAATATGTGTTTATATAATGTTTGTATATTTTATATCCCTTTGCAGCTGCATGAATATGTCAAGAAGCATTTCTGTGTTGGACAGATGGCAGTAGTGGGAATAGGTAAATACATGTAACAATTCTAAACAGGGAGACTATGTTTAATGCAGAACGTCAGAGTGTACCATCATGCTGTAGGTTCCTGAGCGGTACAGAAATTTAAGGATCCCTATTGTACAGGGATCTCTGATAACCCGGGGGGTAACTTAGTGGAAGATACACTGTCTCGCTGGGGAGTTCTGTGCAACTTCCATCAAGGGTTAGGGAGGTAACTCTCAAGAAATGACTCCAGGATGACCAATTTATCCCACTTTATCTAAGGGTTAGTTTACCATCCTTTGTAAGAACAAATTCTCCTTATTTTTCCAAGCAATGCAGAAATTGAGCTCCTTTCCAGTTAATAGGGGAGAGAGACTCAGGAGGTTTAGCTGGAGAGCACAAGATACCTGATCTGAAGAGGTCTTTAGCAAGCAGCTATCACCAGGGGTTAAGGACAGGAACATCGAGTTTATGATCTTATCGAATGGTGGAGCAGGCTCCCCCTGCTCCCCACAGCCCCGATGCACATTTGTAAGTTTGTATAAGAGTGAGCTACTCCTGGTTGAAATTGTACAGGGCTCAACAAGACCACCCAGGAGTACTGTGTAAAGTTTCGGTAGCCATACCCACACACTGGCCTTACAGGTGGTGCAGAGAAGCCTTGTTAGATTAATACCTGGTCCAGGAAGACCGTCCTGTTGAATAGAGATTGAATACAATGGGCCTCAGTGCTCTTTGCAACTGAGAATGATCTCGCTATAAGATGCTGTTCCTCTGACTGGGAGCCAACATCTAAGGGAAATGACAGACCTCATAACCCTCAGACTAATTTTTGCAGGACCAGGCTTACTCTAGAAGTCCTGAACTGAGGGCTAGAGTATGCCTTCTACTTTTCCTGCCAGTGAAGGATACAGATTAGGCTGGCATCGTGACTCAGTGGTTAGCCGTACTCCCTCACAATGCCAGGGAGGGTCGACTAGCTGTGTGGAATTTGCACATTCTCCCAGTATCTGTGTAGGTTTCCTCAGGGTGCTCTCCGGTTTCCTCCCACAGTCCAAAGATGTGCAGGTTAGGGTCAATTGGCCATGTTAAATTGCCCCATACTGCCCAGGGATGTGCAGGCTGGGTGGGTTAGCCATGGGAAATGCAGGGTTACAGGATATGGTGGGTTCTGGGTCTGGGTGGGATGTTGATGGGCTGAATGGGATGAATTGTAAGGATTAAATGAATCCCTCCCTAAAGGAGGCAGGATCCTAATTACTATTCATGATAGCTTCTTGGGCTAACTTTCAATTCCAGAGTTTTGTAACTGAGTTTACTCCCACTTCCTCCTGCTGCTGTGCTGGGATTTGAACCTGCGCCTCATGGATTAGGTAACTCAGTGACATGATCACAACAATACCATTGATCCCATGGAAACCCAAAGGGGTTGGAGAATAAGACTGGGGACTGTCTGCTGATAAATGCGGTCAGTTTCAAAATGGAGGAAGTGGGGTCTTTCTGACCTGAATGGGCTGGGGGGTTTGATGAGATGACTTAAAGACCTTGCTCACTCACTATCAGCTTGAACTCCACCCTGAGGGGTTTGTTTGTCCCATGGTATAGTCCCACATTGATTTGTACCGGATTCCCCCAACTCCTCTTGATTGGAGTGTTCTTTTATTTGTTCCTTCAGGGATGACTATCAGCCAGCTGATAAAGGCAGCCCAGGAACTATTTGGCAAGAGGACTGGATATGGTCAAGCTGGGTCCCAGGCCCTGTACGGTGGAGGTAAGCATTGCTCTGGAATGGATAGGCCGAGAACTGGCTTTAGTTCATTTCCCGCTCATTGGTGAAGGATTCACCTCCATGACCCCTGGTTCCAGCATCTGATACACCTCCCCAACGGTTTTGTACACTCCAGCCCCTCTTCTTTCCAAAGCCCTGTTCCTCATGCTTTTAAGATAGTTAGAAATTATTAATTTGATGATGAGCCAATGCTGCTGGCTTAGCCTGTGAATTGCCGAAGCCCAGACCCATCCTCCTTTACCATAAAACCAGGCTATCCTGATGCTCTCCAGTTTCCATCCTTCGTAGACATCATTTTGGACAAAGTTCTGCCCTAACCCATACCAGTTCGGTCCGGTTTGCCTATCTCCTGCTGTTTTCGCTGGCCTACACTCAGTCTCGGTGCAGCGACATCCTCTCATCCCTGCGTTTTAAATCCCTTCAGATCCTCACCTCTCTGTGTCGTCAATCCTATCCAGCCCCATAACCTAACCACCTTCACAATTCAGCCTCATGCATTTTCCCCATCTTCATTGTCCCATCGATGGTGCCCATCCCTCTGGCAGGCCAAATTCTAATTTCTTGAATTCTCTCCTTTCACCCATCCATCCCTTTACGTCAGTCTCTAAGTCAACCTCTTCAACCAAGCTGTTGGCCTCATCATTGATACATGCAGCACAGAGGGCCATTCGGCCCCACATACCTGTTGCAGCTCTTTGAGATAGCTATCCATTAGTCCCTGCCCTGTCCATTAGCCCCTGCCCTGTCCATTAGCCCCTACTCTGACCATTAGCC